AGAGTCAACTTGTTCATCATTTTAACATACCAAAAACCAGAACAAGTTGTTCATCTTCATTCTATGTACTCTGGCATGCTCCTGGCCCAGATCAATTCACCAAGTACTTCCCAGAAGACGAAATAATGGCCATCATGCAAAAGTACTTTCTCTTTCCCAAAAGATGAGAAGGCTGTGTCATTTGAGAGGGATAACAAGCAAAGTATATAAATAAGGACACTATGAGAGAATTGGAGCAGTGTGGTGTTCTGGTGGCTAGAAAGAACTCCACCAGCCCACTAACAGGGAAAATACAATATTCTGTTTGGGGGTTCCCATGCCAGCTAGCCATTATCTTGGAAACCTTCAGTGAAGACAGCACTATGAAAAATCTACCCAAGGTACCTAGGGCCTTCGTACCACAGAGCTCTCTGGAACCAAAGTGACATCTCTAATTCAAATCTTACTGCTCCCTAACTGGGCTGGGGCACACACTTTGCTGTTGTTATTGTTTTCATTGTTACCTTGGATTTGCTGATCTATTTCTAAGGGTGTTGCTTTAAATAACAACTTAATTTATCACTTAAGTCAACTACGATGACCCTTGTTAGTCTATCTTTCCCCTCCAATGTACTAGCAGCTCACAAAAGTGTCCTATGATGGGTGACACAGGTGGAAAAAGGACATAGACCTGAAGGTTATGCATCAAAAGGAGCAGGGACAGTCATAGAATTGATAGTAGCAAGGACTACAGGCCACCAGCCACCTACTTCATCCATGTACCCCAGAACCAGATAAAACAACTTTGTGACAGATGCTCTTGATTACATCCAGTGGTTTCCCAAACCTCCTGCTGGCCATCAAATAATAATGTGCAGGTCAAGAATTGGCAAGGTAACTATGGGAATGGACCAAGCCATGTTTATACTAAAGAAAACCCTCTAAGTCAGTATTATTCAAAGTATTATCTAGGGGCCAGTGCTGGTCCATGAACTACTCAGTACTGGCCCATGAAAAGACAAGTAAACAAATTGAGAGTAAGGGTTTAGACACTTCAGAGCAATTTGAGATTGCCACAATACCCAAGTGTATGATAAGTAAATCAGCCTCAAACAGGGTATAAACTAGTTTGGGAACTACTCAACTTGCCTGATGAGTCACATGTGGTACAAGCTGCATACAAGTTATGCACAGTAGGACCATGTATTGGTTTGTGACATACTGGGGAGAAAATACTGGCCCTTTACCACAGATAATTGAGAAGCACTGCTTTAAATTCTTATAGATTACGTACTAAATTAACTATAGTAACAGTCCAAAACACTCCAGCAAAAATATTATCTACAAATTAACATGCCAAAAAAATCAGTAGAGAAAATATTTTAGGCACAGAATAGAAGATAATCATTCTAGTTATTTCATACAAGTACTGGTTTGCAAACTAGACTATTTATTTTTCAAAGATAAGTGTTTTGTCTTTTACTATTTCAGTATCCCTCATTATTCGTAAAAGGGTTCTGGTGGCGTAATAGTTAAGCACTTGGCTGCTAACCAAAAGGTCAGCAGTTTGAACCCACACAGTGGCTCTGTGGGAGAAAGATCTGGCGATCTGCTCCTGTAAAGATTACAGCCTACGAAACCCTACAGTGCAGTTCTACTCTGTGACATGGGGTTGCTACAAGTCGAAATCGACTTGACAGCACCGAACAACAATAACATTATTTCTAAGACAGTACACCCACTCCTCACTTATTGACATTGTTAGATTCCAAAGACCAGGTTGTTATGTGAAAATCTGCATTGTGCAAAAATTAGGGTGTAAGCTACATCCTCAAGGAAACTCCCTTTTCAAATGACTGACTGCTCATATCAGATCACAAAATGGCAGATGATTACATCAGATCACAAAATGAAGGATGACTACATCATTACATAACTGCTAAATTAAATCAATACGTAACTGCCAAACCACTGAGAATCATGGCCCAGCCAAGCTGACTCATAACCTAAACCACCACAGCCAGCGTTACTCTCACTTCACACCTTGAAGTTCATTACTGCCAAATGCACATCGTTAATGCATAAAATAGTTGTACAGTAGATTTTTTACTATTGTCGTAAATGCAAAATATCAGATAACAAGATAGTCGATAAGTGAGGAGTGGGTATACTACACAAATCATAGACTTTTATTAATTCCCTGTTTACTCTTCATTGATTCTGAACTATATTTACATTTCAAAGTAAACTGATGCATTAGAGTACATAACGTATTTATATAAAAATAATAAATGTTCACTTAGTACAGTATTGTGTCACTTTGCTGGTAGGTCAGTCTTACAGTGACTTCGCCCATTCAAGTACAGTCACAAACCTAAGAGACCTCTAATTGCAGGAGAAATAACTACAACAATGGCTAAAAATGTCACTTAAGAAAAACATGGAGACACCTTCAGCCCCTATCCAGTGTTCATTAACTAATGTTTGTGTGTAAAATAAAGTACCTGGTTACAAACTTGGTTATAAATTGATTAAAATAAAGCTTCTGGTTTTATAAGCTCGGTTATCAACAGATTAAAATTGAGGCAGGAAATATTGCTAGAAGCAAATGTGTCAAGACCAATGAAGAATGACTGAAGTACCATTAAAACAAAAAAGTATACAGTCTAGGAGGTCACTAAATGTAAACGGAAAGCGCAGGATATACTCCAGAATACCTAAAGGCAGCTCTTTTTAAACACGGTTTAATAACCGATCCTTCACTTTGTCACACTAAACCATCAAGAAAGGTTCAATTTTGAATAGTAAAATCCTAGCTAGTGAGGTATTCGATATTAAATATAACTTAGGAAATTTACATTAGAAAAGTAAAAATAAAGTATTAACATTTAAAGGGATAAGCTTAAACTATTAAGCAACTAAACACAATTTAAATGAGAGCCTACTATAAGACACATTTTGAGTGGTTTTTTTCTTCATTTAAAATATAAGCAGAACTTAATGTGGAATTTAACATATATATCTACGTATATATATATAAATATAAATATATGGAATTTATGCAATTTAAACACATGAACTTACATAACATACACAGACATGCACATGCCCACAAATACTTATACATTAAACATGTAACCTTGACAACTCGTCAAGACTGAGTAGAAGGCATCTAAAAGCGGCCAGTGCTAAGGAGAGGAAGAAGCCAGTCGTGCCACACTACTCTCTACCTTTCCACTTAAGTCACTTAAGACACAAAGTGGACCTAAATGAATTATATATGAAGAGCTACAAAAGCACACTGAGAAGAACAAAATTGAAATATGTCTAAATATAAACAAATTTTCAAAAAATATAGTCACAAAATAGAAAGTGCTTATCAGAAAACCTAACAAACAAAAACCCGTTGCTCTCAAGTTGATTCTGATGCATAGCCACCCTATAGGACAGAGCAGAACTGCCCCATAGGGTTTACAAGGAGTGGCTGGTGAATTCGAACTGCCGACCTTTTAATTAGCAGCTGAACACTTAACCACTGGCGTCACCAGGACTCCATAACATAAACAGTTGAAACTATATAGCACAGTGAAGTCCATATTAATTTTGTTAACATTTGTAGAAACTGATCAATCAGTCAATATTACATACAGTCCAGTAGGTTTAAGAAGCACAGAGATAATATTGTAAGCGTTAAAAAAAATGACCTCAAAACAAGGCTCTGCCAGCAGAGAAGCTAAGATATGACCGCCCTCTGGCTGACTTCAAAGGCCCTGAGCAATCTGGCCCCATCCAACAACTCACCCCAACACTCCAGCACCCATGGACACCTTCACCCCTACCAGAGTTCCCTCCTCTCTTCCCTACATCTAGCCAAATCCTGCTCCTCCTTCAGAGTCCAGCTCGAGTCTCATCTTCTCCAGGAAAACTTTCCTGGCCATTCCACCTCTTATGTAATCTCCAACATTTAGTTTATACTACATAGTTTGGCTCAATTATAATCTTGAAGTTGTTTCATGTGCATTGATTTTTGTCCTCTATCCTAGTCCAATCAGCTGAAATCCAACAGGGACAAATTCACAGTACTCCAATGAGGGAGAATGCACATCAGAGTAATTGTGGAGCATCTCACTTAAGTAAAAGAATTAGAGGATTTGGGGGAAGGGTGGAGTTTAGGTACAATTTTAAGTAAATAGGTTCAAACCAAAGCAAGTCTGTGTATAAAGGGATCAACATCAGGTCTGAACTGCAAAGTGGGCCCAGGGTCCAGTTTCCTCAAAAACAATAATGTTGGGATGGATGTGGAATGTTGTACCCAGAAACCCCTTCTCTGAAGCTCTGCACCCAAGCAGTAAATTGAGGCTGCTTCTCTGTGTAAAGTGACTTAGCTCCTCCAGGCAAGAGTGGGATGTTTTATCTTACTGACATCGTTTCAGACAGCAAAGTTTCTCATAGCCTCTGATCTTAAAGAACAAAGTTTCTCAGTGAGTAAGAAAGAGGCAGTCACTCAAAAAAGGAGGTTATGACATTTTACAGTTGCAGCATATCCTTGGGAGAAATTCCTGTTCACTTTGCAGCTGGTTTTACCTGTGTCTGTTATTTCAGCTGATGAATGGCAGAGCAGATTTTTGCAGTCCAAGCTAATTTTTACTTTTTTCACTCCTCAACAAGCCAGACAGAGAGATTAATGGCCAGAACCACTTCTACATTTTTTCATTTCCTACATAAAAACTGAGCATGGTGCTGAGCACATAGCAGTTGCTACATAAATACCCATTTGATATCTGATTGGTGGATAATGAAGTTTATTTAGCCAACTGAAGCCACAGATAACAGGTCATAAAGTTATACAGCTATATAGCCTTGTAAACTCTCCTAAAGAGTGTGTGTGTGTGTGTTGTATGTACACATATAATGTACATATATGTATCTGTATATACATATATATATATATACACACACAGAGAGAGAGAGAGAGAGAGAGAGTGAAAGAGTTGTAGTTAAGAGGGAGGTATATTTCTTACCTACAACACCAAAAGCTGAAACAGCTCGAAATAACCCCGAGGATCCTTTCTGTCCCATCTTTGTTCTATTTCCTAGATCCAAGCGGCCAAGAAGTTCTCTCACCTCTTGCTGAGTATATACATGCTAGAAACAAGCAAATTTCATCTGTAAGGTTCACACAGTGTTTACACTGATTATTTATTATTTACCACTGAAAAGTAAAAGTTGTCTACAAGAATCAGTAGCTATTTCATGGAGCAGTATATAATACTGCATGATTAAACCACAATTTAAAAAAGCTAACAAATTTTTTAAAATTAGCAGTGAAAGTTGGTTATTTGATCACATGCTAGTACACTTAAAAACTGTCAAAATCTTATACCCTAAACTAAGATTCAAGGATTTAAGGGGCCCACAGATAATGTTCAAGAAGTCTGTGAACCCCTTAAAACTGTACACAAAATTTTAAGTGTGTGTGCATATGTGTATTTTTATGAGAATTCTCATAGGTTTTTATGAGAATTCCATAGATTCTCAAAGAGGTCCCTGATCAACCATTCCCACCCCTAAATAAAACCAACAGTCATTTAGTTGTATTAATAAAAACTCTAGGAGTGTGGGAAAGCACAATAGGCAATTTATCTAAGATTATTACAATACAAAAAATGGTTTTGCATAGAGCTTGGTGAAATGAGTTCCAGACTGCACCTACTAATATATTTGAGAAACCAGGAATCTGAGTGGATTCAGAAATACTCATAGACAAGAACTTCAATGCAAAGGGTAAGTTAAGTTCTCCCATTTGAAAGCATTACATAACATTATATAATTACATATAATATAAATATATATACACATATATATACACACTGTATTTTTACACAAATAACACATGCACGATACTTTTTTTTTTTTTTTTGCCAACTACACAACTCCCTCACACATTATTTTCCTGGGTGTGCTATGCATGTTATATACGGGTGCACATTACTTGCATGGGCACATTATTTGCAGGGAGAAAAAGGTGTTAAATATATAATTGTTATAACTACACTGTTGCATAAATGAGCCAAAAATGGTCTCTGTGTACTGGTCCCAGGAAGTTCACTTCTTCATAGCAAGCTGAGGCCCATTAGCCCCCAAAAAAGCTCCCCAGTGCCAGACTCAAATTTGTACAATCAATCATTTTAAAAATAATCCAAATAAGCAGATCTTTAGCCACTTAAAGCCTGTCTGCTCTACATATCTCACAAGACTGCACCCAACATCTGCCATCCACAGATAAGATAAAATCCTATAGCTATAAGGACCCCTAGGCGCTGCTGTCCTTCCACCCTGATGCAGAAGGACACCGCCCAGACAAACATAAGACCCCCTTTTTCTCCTCTTCTTGGGAGCAGTAGCTCCCTGCCCTGCTTGCCTCTCAAAAACCCTGCACTATGGGGGACTGCCCCCTATATGCAGCTATCAAGGCTATCAACGTGCTGGCCTCAAGAGACAGCTTGTTGTGCAACGCGGTTATCTCGTGGTCATGTATTTTTCCTTGCCTAGCCCAGAACTCCCTCGAACTCATTCAAATACAAATACCTTATTGTATTTCACTTTTGAATAACAGCCTAATTTTTTGTGCCACTTGATTTAAGTCTCTGTATTTCTGACTCCGGATAATGTGATATCCAGATAAGAACAGTGTATAGCAAAGAGGCCCTAGAGGTGCTTTTAAGTAGCTCTATAAAAATTCTGCAGCATGGAAGTCTTCCTTGACTTCACGTAGCTTCATTTTAAAGCACAGTAACAGATCATCTCTTTGGTAAATGTAATAATAACAGTTACACTGAATTCTTAAAATTTCAGCTAAGAAAATATTTTCATTATCTTACCCAAAGAGTTTACTTTCTAAAAGAAATCAATGATCAGGGATACAATGTAATTCCGGCATACTTCTTCTTCTTTTTTTAAAAAAATTCTTGTAAAGTATATATAACATAAAGTTAGCCATTTTAACCATTTTTAAGTGTTCGAGTCAGTGGCATTAATTACATTCACAATGTTGTGTAACCAACACCACTATCTATTTCCAAAACTTATTCATCATCCCAAACAGAAACTCTGTATCCATTAAGCAATAACGTCCCATTCCCCCACCCCCAAGCCCTGGTAGCCTCTAATCTACTTTCTGCCTCTATGAATTTCTAGATATTTCATATAAATGCAATCTTGCAATATTTGTCCTTTTGTGTCTGGCTTATTTTACTTAGCATAATGTTTTCAAGGTTTATCCATATTGTTGCATGCTTCATAATATCAGTAATTTCTGGAAACCAGATCAGAAATTAAATTCTAGCCAATCAAGAAAAATAATCATAATTTTTTGAAGCATAATAAAAAAATAACATATCACTAAAAGCTGTTAGGACACCTCATATTCTTTTAAACAAGTGGTATGAAATTTTTTTTCCTTAAAGTAGTGATGTTTGCAAGACACTTACCCTATCATCAATTATGACCAAATCTTTTGGTTCTGTTCTATCAATTTTCAAGACACGGTATTTCGTTTCTGCATGATTGCTTCCAACTAGGAAGTATCTCTACAAATAAAAAGGAATGTCATTAGTTTCTTAGGCATTTTGTCTTATATGTATTTTATAATCATTTCAGTTTCTTTTTTAATTAATAAAGTCAGTTAGGTTACTTTTCAAAAGAAATGTTTTGGTGAAATGTTAACTGGCAGATAAAGGAAAGGCTGTAAAATGATTCCAAAAGATCAGTTTTCATATGGAAATAGTCTTAATGATGTCAAGATAAGAATCAGTCTGATTTCCGAAATGTGCCCAGTAACCAGGTCAGATGAATTTAATTATACTGTATGATTAGAGATTAACGTAACTGATTGGAGACTGACGTTTAAACGTTGCCAGAAAGAGCAGCTGTGGTAAGAATTAGAAAGCTCAACATATAATTAGGAATGCTTAGACAATTAGAGCTATTAAAATGCTGATACTTTATCAAATAAACCTTTACAAATTTTCTCAAGACTGAGAATGACTTTAACACAGCAAATGTAAAAATCCACCCAAAAGTCCTGTAAAAGAATAAAATGGATGTACTTTCCAAAACGACTTTTCATAAATAAGCTAAAGAAATAATTAATATTCTTTCTTTTCTGAAACTCTTCCTTGGAGCATTCTATTCGAACGAAATGCATTTGTCTTCTTAAATGCGTACTGAGAATGAAATGAATAATAAAAATACAGAAAAATAATAATCTTGTATTTAAGTGAAAATGTTCTTTAGAAAAACTAAACATGAATTATTCTTAAATTGCATTTCAGAAATAAGTAAAACTATTATTGGCGATATTTTGCTTCAAAACTGTCCTTTAAAAAAATGACAGTTTTTCGACACAAAAATAGAGAAGACACTGCTACAATCAACTGGCATTTTACCATCCCACTGGTTGGATAAGTTATAACTACACAAAGCGATTAAATATCAAAATAATTCTCTAGGCTGATGGCCAAACTGAAGTATGTAGACCATCACAGGAAATCAGAGTAGGAAAGATTACTGTGAGTTACTATACATGCATAAAACGTCAGAGGAGTCAGGACTTGAATTGACACTTAAAAGATGGGTAAGATTTGAAAAAGTAAGATTTTACCCCATAGCAGAATATAAACACTTGGTTATACTGTTTTAACTCTAAATCTGGAGAAACAAATGGATGTTCTCTTTATTAGTATTAACTATATGTCTGTTTCCCCACACATCTGTCATGCTGTCATACTGTGGTGGCTTGCATGTTACTATGATGCTGAAGAAAATTAGAACAAGTCCACGGCAGCCAAAGTATGACCCTGAGTATATCCCACTTGAATTTAGAGACCATCTCAAGAATAGATTTGACACACTGAACACTAATGATCGAAGACCAGACGAGTTGTAGAATGACACAAAGGACATCATACATGAAGAAAGCAAGAAGTTATTAAAAAAACAAGAAAGAAAGAAAAGACCAAAATCGATGTCAGAAAAGACTCTGAAACTTGCTCTTGAACACAGAATAGCTAAAGTGAGACGAAGAAATGATGAAGCAAAAGAGCTGAACAGAAGATTTCAAAGGGCAGCTTGAGAAGATAAAGTATTATAATGAAATGTGCAAAGACCTGCAGTTAGAAAACCGTAAGAGAACACACTTGGCATTTCTCAAGCTGAAAGAACTGAAGAAAAAAATTAAACCTCAAGTTGCAATATTGACGGATTCTATGGGGAAGATATTAAACAACGCAGAAAGCATCAAAAGAAGATGGAAGGAATACACAGAGTCACTGTAACAAAAAGAACTGGTCGATGTTCAACCATTTTAGGAGGCAGCATATGATCAAGAACCAATGGTCCTAAAGAAAGAAGTCCAAGCTGCACTGAAAGCGTTGGTGAAAAGCAAGGCTCCAGGAATTGACAGAATACCAATTGAGATATTTCAACAAGTGGATGCAGCACTAGAAGTGCTTACTCTTCTATGCCAAGAAATTTAGAAGACAGCTACCTGGCCAACTGACTGGAAGACATCCATATTTGTGCCCACTCCAAAGAAAGGTGATCCAACGGAATGCGGAAATTATTTAACAATATCATTAATATCACACACAAGTAAAATTTTGCTGAAGATCATTCAAAAGCAGTTATAGCAGTACATCAACAGAGAACTGCCAGAAATTCAAGCCGGATTCCAAAGGGGATGTGGAATGAGGGATATCACTGCTGGTGTCAGATGGATCTTGGCTGGAAGCAGCAACACCAGAAAAATGATTAACTGTGTTTTATTGACTATGCAAAGACATTAGACTATGTGGATCGTAACAAATTATGCATACGGTTGCAAAGAATGGGAATTCCAGAACACTTAATTGTGCTCAGGAGGAACCTCTAAACAGACGAAGAGGCAGTTGTACAAACAGAACAAGGGGATACTGCGTGGTTTAAAATCAGGAAAGGTGTGCTTCAGGTTTGTATCCTTTCACCACACTTATTCAATCTGTATGCTGAGCAACTCATCAGGGAAGCTGGATGACTGTGAGGGTGGCTCAGAACCAGGCAGTGTTTCGTTCTGTTGCACATGGGGTCACTAAGAGTCGGAACCCACTTGGCGGTACCTAACAACAACGACAACAATATAGTATCTGTTTATAAAAGTCTGCACTAGACTCGTAGGTTATGTAGAGCAAAACTATAAGTTAAAAGAAGGCAAACCAATAACTCAATCCCTCATTTCCTAGGAGAGACAGAGTCTGGATAACCCTCCCAGCAATAATGAGGTAGAAATAAAGCAATTATACTAAAAATTATTAAACTATGTTGGGACATCCAGTGACCAGGACTTGATGCACTGGGGGAGCAGTGAGAAGGGGCAGGGGTGGGGGTGGTGTCAAAGAGTCTCGGCTGGGCCTCAGCTAATTCCTGTCCCTGAGACCCTACCCACCACTGAGAGGAGAGAGGGGTAACTAAACCTAATAATGTTAACATAAAAATGGTTTGCAAACTATAACATGTTTGTTAGCAGAAAAGGAAGCCGTGTTCTTGAAGACCTGAAGAAAAACTATTCCTAGGATAGGAAACAGCAAGTGCAAAATGCTTGTTGTTTGCTTGAAGTGTTCATTAGAGGAACAGGATTAAAATGCTCCTAAAGCACCCAATGCAGTGTCCACTACAAAGAAGGCACTTGGAATGTTAGTTCCTTTTCTTTTTAAGACGTCAGAGAGTATGTGACATTGTATTTGAGAAAAAGATAAAAAACACAGAGGAAAAAAGAGAGTACCCCAGAGAAAGAAAAGTACATACAGACCAGAATGGGAGAATGCACAAGTATATCAGTAACCAGTCTTTGTCCTTGGGAGAGAGGAGCATGCAAATTAACAATCATGAATAATGTGCTCCAATAGAACTATGAACTAGGTACAATGAGAACACAGCAAGGGCATCTAATGAGTTAGGGAGGATCAGAGCAAGCTACCCAGAGAAGCTGAGGTTATCTTGATGCTGAATTTGGCCTTGAAGGACAGCTAAGCAGGACTTCCTGTACTAAGTTAGGACAAGTGACACCACCCCTTGCTCTGGGCTCTCAAAGCACTTTTATTTATATCTAAATTTAGCACTTACTTCTAAGGGCCTTGTCTCAATTTGTTTGGGGCATGTCTGCCTGCTCCGCCTAATTATAAGCACCTTATGAGACTGGAGCTAACTCCCTAAGTCCTGTGGTTTTTAATTCCCCCAGTCTCGTAGCATGATCTGGTTCCACAGGCATTAGGTTAATGTTAGTTGAAAGAGAACCACTTACCGCAGAGCAATCACTTTAATTTGCTGGGTAGTTTCCTACAACATTTACACTACCCCATCCTTTTTGGGTAAGCAGATATACAGAAAGATAGTCTTTTTTAATGCAGCCACTTAGTAAGGAGATACATCACAGCTTTACAGGAGGTTAAAAAAAAAAAAAAAATCCCTGAATGAAATTGCTAGAATTTTAGGAAATCTAAACATTATTTGTGATAGGATTATACCTTGGCAGGTTTATTAAAAAAAAAAAAGATATTATAAATGCATGGTGCACTGGCCTTTGGAATACACACACAGGAAGGCAGATCTAACCTCCCATACCCAGGCCTCTCCAAAGACTCCATGAATTAGAGGAGACAAAAGCTAAAATCCACCACATTTAGAGGCAGATCTGAGTAGAGGGAAAGAAATGGGAATCGGCATAACTATTCACATTCTCTCTCATCAATAATGTTCTAAGAATCTAAAAATGTTTTGCTCAGAGAATAGCGACCTCATGTGGAGCCAGTTACATTGGAAAGAAAACCAGTTTTCAGTTGGCCTGCTGTGGACAGAATTACTCTCCTCCACTGCCCCCTGGTGGACAGCTAACCATCTAATTTCATAAGCGTTTGTAAAAAAGGGAACTGTTACAGGAAGGCCTTGTTTTGCCTCAGCTTTATTTCCTTCCAGTTAAATACATCAACTCTATTACTACGTATCTCTTTAGACTTTGTTACATTGAATACTATGCTTCAAAATGGATCTCAGCATTTTGGGGAGTTAAAAAACTGCCCTGCAATGTCTATTTCTTAAAGTTCTTCTCCATGGCGGATTTTTATTTTGAAAAACTTCTTACCTACAGTTAAAATGGAAACCCTGGTGACGTAGTGGTTAAGTGCTACAACTGCTAGCCACAAGGTCAACAGTTCGAATCCACCGGGCACTCCCTGGAAACTCTATGGGGCAGTTCTGCTCTGTCCTATAGAGTCGCTATGAGTCAGAATTGACTTGACGGCAAAGGGTTTACAGATAAAATGACAAAATAGTATAATGAACATCCATACACCCTTCATCTAGATTCACCAATCGTTAACATTTTGCTGCATTTGCTTTATGCTCCCCTCCCTCTTGAGATAAGCTTTTCTCCCACAGAATCATTTGAAAGTAAGTTGCAGGTATTATGACACATCACCCCTAGAAGCTTCAACTTCTATTTCCTAAAAACATGAACATCCATGTATGTAATCATGATACTAATTATACATTATCTATATACAATCTGTATTAAAATTTTCGTAAGTGTCCCGATAACAACCTTTATATCTAGCTTTTTTAAAAGTAGAATCCAAATAAAATAAAATAAAAATAAATAATGCTGCTACAAAAAAAAAATAAAAGTAGAATCCAATCAAGGATCATGCGTTGCACTTGGTTACTATGCTGTTTAAAATTTCCTTTGATTTAGAATTGTCCCCTTGCCTTTGTCTTTCATGATCTCAACATTTTTAGAGTCAACTTTTTTTTACACCAAATTTTCCTGGTTTTGTATTGACATCGTTCACTTGATCATTTAGTACTGAATGTCTCATGTGCCAGGAAGCACTGGGCTAGATAGACACCTGAGCAAAAAGATAAACTGAAGATTGCTGATGGATTAGATCAGAAAGGTAGCAATCAAGGTTGATCCCTAGGTTCCTGGTTCTCGGTTTGAGCAACCTAGCTATATGGCGGTGCCACATACTGATGTAGGAATAACTGGAGAAGAAACAGGTTTTCATTTGTTTGTTTTTTATTGTGCTTTAGGTAAAGGTTTACAGAGCAAATTAGTTTCTCATTAAACAATTAATACACATATTGTTTTGTGACATTGGTTGCCAATCCCACAACGTGTCAACACTCTTCCCTTCTTGACCCTGGGTTCCCCATTAGGAGAAACAGGTTTGACGGAAAACTAGAGTTCTACTTACAGCAGAGTTTGAGATGCCCAAAGAAAGCAAGCAGGAACTGAAGAGATGAATCCAGATCTTAAAGGAAAGAACTCAGTGGGTGTCATCAGCCCATACATGGTATTTAAAGCCATGGGACTGGGTTAAACCTACTAGGAAGAGTGTAGATAGAGAAGAGAGCCCAAAAAACTAGCCTGAGACACTCCATCATTCAGAGGCTGGATAAAGAGAAGAAACCAGCTGAGAAGACTGAGAGGAATGGCCAGTGAGTGGGAAGAACCCAGGGCAGTATGGAATTGCCAAAGCAAAGGGAAGAGATCATTTCACATGCACATCAAATACTGCTAACAGGTCAAGTAAAATGAGGACAGAGAAGTACCCAGTGGATCTGACAACAAGCAGTGTGTGAGTGGCCTTTCGGTAGGCAGTTTCAGTGAGAGGGTGGCAGCAAAATCCATAGCAGAACTGGCTGAAGAGCAAATGGGTAGTCTTCTGGTTAAATATAGAAGACTAACGCCTCTGTTCCTCTGAAACATCTTACTAAAACAATAGGAAAG